TCATGCTTTCTTTGCCAATGGCTGAGTTTAGGATTTTTTTTACCCCCAGCAACCATGCAAGGACACTGAAATCCTACAGCAAGGAGAGGTGACTTGCTGTCATGGTTTGATCCCAGCTGGCAACCAAGCCCCACATGGCTACTCACTCACTCCCCCACTAGTGGGATGGAGAATTGGAAGGGTAAAAGGGATAAAAATACATGTGTTGAGCTAAAGACAGTTAAATAGGGAAAGAAAAAGCCATAGATGGAAACAAAGGCAGGAGCTCAGCCATCCCCAGGAGAGCAGGGCTCTGTCACTCGTAGTGGTGACTCAGGAAGGCAAACACGTTTCAATGTGAATGTTCCCCCTTCCTCCTCCTCCCACCACTTTTACATGCCCAGCATGGCACTGTCTGCTGTGGGGTATCCCTGGGGTCACCTGTCCTGGCTGTGTCCCCTCCCACCTCCTTGTGATCCCACTCACTGCAGGGGTAGAGAGAGAGGAAGAAAAGGCCTTGGCTCTGTGCAGGCTCTGCCCTGCACTAAGGAAAACATCCCTGCATTATCAGCACTGCTCCCAGCACAAATCCCAACCACTGCCCCATGCTAGCTACTGTGAAGAAAATGAACTTTATTCCAGCCAAAATCAGCACATTTCCTTTCCAGCAGGAAGTTGTTTGAGGCAGCAGTGGTTTTGGGAGGCCAAGGCAGGCTTTGGCAAGGTGAGTTTGTGTTCAGTGTGGTGTGTGCTGTGTCTGACAGGCTGCAGTGCAGGCCAAGTGACAGCAAAAGTGTGTTCCTTTCGCTTCTTTCTAGATGGAAAGGTGTGCTCTGCTAAGTGTGCTTGCAGGAAGCTGGGAGGTGGCACGAAGCTCTAAATCCTTAAGAAGCAGCAGGAGCCATCAGCTGAGATCCAGGAATGTCACAAATGGTCCCTCAGCAGAGCCTCTGACACAGGGACAGCAGGAAGGAGTGGTGGAGGAGTCCTTGGCCTCGAGCTCTGCAGGTTACTGCTCACAGGTAAGTTTGGATATGTTTTTATGAAATTCACTTGCCTTCCCCACCCCCTGGGATGGCCTAGGTCTTAACACCATTCTTGTAAACGTTCTTGGATTTTGTCATTAAAAGGAAAGCTGAAAAATATAAGTCTGGAAATGCGAGGGGGTACTGGCAAGTGCGTGCCTGGGTGTTGCAGTGAGTGATGGGAGGTGTCAGGTCTCTAACACTGCCTTGTACCTGCCATGGGCTCAGCTCTCCCAGCTGCTGATGGAGCTATGGCCTGCTGCCACAGGGGCAGTCTGAAAAGCACTTTTGTGCCAGAGCCTGAGAGTTTAGTTGCTTTCATAACAGCAGGCTCAGACAACATGCCTGGCTGTCCTTTTTCTCTGACAGACCCTATTGGTGCTGCTGTGGCTCTGGCTGACTGCCCTGCTCGGGTCAGGGCCCATCCAAAGCCCCTCTCTGGGCTGGAGCTGCCTGGTGTCAAGCAGGATGCACGAGGAGACCCGCCTCCTCTTTGTCATGTGAAGCTGAAGCCCTGCCATGCAAATCTTCCAAGGAAATGTGTGGCTTTAGCCTTTCCCGTGGGACTTGCCACACTTCTCTGGCTGCAGGGGGCTGAGGCCTGCACAGCAGATATCAGGACAAATGGTGTTTCAGGAGAGAGTCTTGAGTGACTGATTGAAGCTGTGGGATGTGCTAACTGAAGGGAAAGCCACTTCTCATCCTTGTGCCAAATACACCTCAAATGCCACGTGTAGCTTTCAGTCAGAGAGCCTTTTGCCAGGAGTCCCCTTCTGCTACTGAGGAAAATGGCATTGTGTTGTAGCCAGCAGATGACTGATCCTGCTGATGAAGGAAACCAGGCCCTGTGGATTTCCAGGTCCCTCAGGAGAGCTGCCATAGACACAAGCTGTTCTCCTCTCCCTGGCATCAGAGCTGCATTCCATCAAGTGCCAGAAGCATAAGAGCTTCCACCTCTGCCAAGGGGGTAGAGAGGCAGGACTTTGCAATACAGGCTTTGGGAAGGCAAGCTAGCATTATATTTATAATTATATTTATAAATATATTTGTAAATATATTTATATTTGTATTTGTTCATCTGGGATTTTATTACCTCCAGCGTGTGCTGGGCCTTACAGCAGAGCACAAACTTAGTCTGAGCACACCTCAGTTGTCAGAGACAAATGAGCACCAAGTTCTGTTTCTTCTTAGCAACTTAACCTGGCTTATGCCCTCTAGTTCCTTGCTTCTGTGATCCTGGCAATAGTTTGACATACTTAATGGATGGTAAGGAGTGCCAAAGACACTAAGTTCCTAAAAGTTTCCTAAAGGGTGGAGCTGGAGAGAAGGGAGGATGAGCTTCCAGAGCTCCTGCAGCAGAGCTGGCAATATGAACATACCTGGGCATCTGAGGACCCAGAGATGTCTGAGAGGGCAGGACTGGTGTTGCCTCTGTGCTGACTTCAGCTCTACAAAGGCCCTGGCATAATGTGCAGGTGCTGGGATGTAGGACTGTGGTAAAAAGAGAAAATATCCATGCTACTTAGCATCTGCCTGGATGTATGAAATCTGTGTGTGGTTACAGCCAAATGCACACTCTGAATGCAAGTGCAGTAGTTGTAACCTCTCCTTTGTTGTTCAGGTACATCCTTTTAGTGTCCTGAAACTTGTTTGCTGATTTAATCTGTGTTTTCTTTCCTCTGCCTTATCTCTTCTGTTTTTCATGCTTCATTTCAGGAGCCTTTTCTTGCCCTTGTCTCTCTGCATCTCAAGGACAATGGCCTTTTGTGCTTCTCTCTCTGGAGGAGAGCAGGGGTACATTGTCAGTGTTCTTGAATCTATTGTTGTGTGCTGAGGGCTCAGGCTGCAGAGCTCCAGCCCAGTGCCCACTGCAGACTCACCTGCAAGGCTGGCACCCTGTGCACACACACAATGTTTTGTAGCCACTCTTCTCACGAGGACTCCAGGCAATATGCAAGGAAAGAAAGCATTTCTGATGGAGAAGTGACTCCAAAGAGACATTTATATTCTCTTTGCCAAAGCAGGAGGGATAGGTTTTTTTCCTAAGAAAGATGGTTTAGCCTTTTTTCTCCATCTGCTTGCTATCATAACACAAATTCTGCTCTGTGTCTGGGAGCTCCAGACAAGCCACCACTGTGATGAACATTTTCATTTTGCAGGATAACATGATTCATTGTTAACACCCAGGATAGCTGCCCTGGACTTGAGTAACAGGTAATTAAAGAATGTAATTTATCTGAGCTATTTGAGATACACATCTCAGAATAAGAACTGAAGGCAATTGTTTCTCACTGTTGCTGTAGAGGAAAGCACAGCTCACCCAAGACATGAGAATTAGGCAAGATACTTGTATAAAAGTATTGGGCAGACAGGTAGGGGCTGAGAAATGAGGTAATGGCAGCCCCATCTAGTGATGGACTGGGGAGGAGGGAAGAAATCCCAGTAGAGAGCAGTGGTCATTATTCAACCCACAGACAGGTGATGGATCCTCAAGTTCTCTCCAAACATACCTTTTTTTTATGTGAAAACTCTTGCAGGGTGGATTTTGATCTCCATTTTGTTACTGGTGTAACACCTCTGCCTAGGTGCAACAGCCCTTGGATGATGGTTATCAGGATGAATTCAGTCTGCTCTGTCTATTTTACCCTTTTGCAGGTTCCCAGGCTTCAGCCAGGCAGCTTTCCTGCTCTGTGGCTACTGGCATCAACCCTGCCTCACACTGAAGTCCCTGGTGTGTTATCCACAGTGTCCAGTCCCTCTGAAAGTGTCTTTCCTAGTGGCTGTGCCAACAGTGAGTGACAAAGCTTCTTGGAGTATTTAGAGCAAAATTATTGCCATAAGGTGAGTCTTCCAGTACAAAAAAAAAAGAAAAAAGAAAAAAAAGGATAATGTTTTGACTTTATTGTGGTTTTGTCTTTCTCCTGCAGAGACAGACCTTACTAGCTGGTTTTTGTCACTGCCCAGTCTCTCCCCTGCCCCCATCACTGTAGGCTGACAAAAGCATGGCCCCTTCCTCTAGCTCAGAAATGTCCATCTCTGGTTTTTCAGGGAGAGCCCCTTCAGCTCAGAGAGCTCGGTCTGGTAGAATTATCCATCTCATTAGAAATAAGATGTTAAGGTCCCTTTGAAGTTGATGGCTTTTCCTGTAGCCTTTCAGGTCCATGCTGAGATGTCTTTGCCTTGTGCCATTATCTTTTTTCTCCCTCTCTCTTCTTTCTGTCTCCTACAGTTCCCTGCATGGATGAATGCAGAAAAGGTCTTTTCAGAAAGGTCTATAAAGGTCTTTTGTGAGTTGCTATTCATTAAATTCCCTTTCCTTGACCCGACTGTGTACAGTGTTAACAAGACAGCTCTCAGGACCCTTGGGCATGGCGCTGCTGTCTTTAAACCCTCCTTTACCTCGTGTCACTGGTGGCAGCAGCATGTTGCCAGAGTGTCACCTCTTCCCAGCTTGACTGAAACACACATTTTGGTGGTGAGAGGTGTTCTCCTGCGAGTAGCAGGGGAGTTCTGCAGGCTGTTTTGTGTGGAAGGTGTCAGGCAAAAGGAAGAGAGCTGCTGCTGTGCTGCAGTCCTGAGCACATCCTTTATCAAACCCTTCAGTGGCAACATTTGAAGGGGGAGTTGCTTTCACACTGAGACTGACAACCCGAGCACAAACAAGTGAGATGTACTGTGTACATTTGCAACTCTTCCTGCCATCTCTGTTTAATCAAAGCAGCGTTCCCTGCAGGCTTTCCCTGGAGTTCACTGCAGCTCCTGCCTTTTGTTTGAAGGGAATTTGTTTGGCTCAGAGTAAACACAACTTAGCCTTTCTGTGAGGATAGCCAAGACACCGTTCTGTAGTGAAAATGGAGGAGAGCAGCAGCCTCAGTATTGCCTACAATGTGCTCTGCCCTGTGGTGCTGGTGTGACAATGTGGGATGATGCTGTCCAGACTGCTGTACCAAATCTAAGGAGGGTGAAAAGGTGACATATAGGAACCAGAGCATCTGCTGCATGGCCAGGTAGCTAAACACACCCAGCCCATCCTACATTGGGAGGCAAAGTTCTCCTGGCAACCCCTCAGGCCCCAAGCTGACTTTCTTTGGACACCTGCATGTGGATGCTTGAGGAGAAGAGAGAAAATATGCTTTTGGAGCTTCAAGAGGAACTGAAGCTGGTAGTTCTGGGATTTTAAAAAGAGCCACTCTGGCTCTGCTGTTGGGCCTTGAAAAGCCACTGCTATTCCTGTGATCTCAGAGGAGTGGGAAAGAGGGAGTTCTTTCAGGCAGATGAGCAAAGCCTTTGATGGTAGGTGAGGTGCAAGTGCAGCTCTGCCATTGCTCTCTTGCTTTGTCATTTCAGGAGCACAGCTGTGAGATGGTCCCACGTTGCTGGCAGTGCTGGGCCAGCCCCCCTCCTCTCGTGCAGAAAATCCTTCCATGTCCTGGCTGGTAAGGATGGGACTTTATTTCTGTGTAGGTGGTGGGGTTTTATGTGGTGAGGTTTCCCCTGCCAGCCCTAATGCTGCTCTGTGGGACCTCCAGCTCTTCCCTCTTCAGCCCCAGCCCTGCAGTTGCCTGCCTACAGCTCCTGGATGCTCTGCTCGCTGCAGTAGCCTCAGGGCAGTAAAAAATACACACCCTTCCCAATTCACACACTGCTAGTGGAAAAGCATGTGCTTCCTGAAGTGCCTTGGGACCCTCTGCCTACCTCTAGGACTGGGAAACATGGTTTTGTCCATATTCCACTTGAGTTTGTTAGGAGGGCACCTCCTTGCTGCAGCCACTGATGCAGTGGGTTTTGGGAATAGGAGTTGTCATTTTCCCAGCCTAGATGCATTTAACAATTGGTTGCAGCAATGGGTGTTTAATTCTCTTGCTAGCATTTCCAGGCCAGCTATTTAATTTCATTTTTTTTCAAACCCTCTTGCTTCTGGAAATCCTGTAATCGAATCCAAGCTCTGTCAATCTAATTAGTTTTGAAGTGCAGAATCTCCATAACTTGGAGACCTAAATAAGCAGCTTAATATGAAAACCTAGTTTCTCTCCCAACACGTAACACCATCCTGTGCTCCCCCCCAGAAACTCCAGTGCGACTGCTCTGCTATCCCTCTGTTAACCTCCCTCCTCTCTTCCCCGGCCTCTGCCCAGGCTGTGTCCATGGGGAACTGAAACAACCAGGCTCATTCCCCTGCTGCTGTGCTTCAAAGAGCCTTTCATGATGCTGCTTGCGTAAAAGATGCTGATGCTGCTTCAGCTGGCAGCGCAGAGTGGGCCGGGGGCGGCTCCTGGTGCTGTGCAGGAGCGGGGCTGGGCACGGGGGCTGCACTTGGAGACCTCACCGTGACGTGATCGGGCCCTGCGTGTGCTGCAGAGGGGATCACCAGCATTCATGGAGGGTAGGCTGCTCTCTGATTTCATTTGTTTTGTTTTTTGGGTTTTTTTTCCCAGTAGAAATGATGGTGCATATAAGAGCAAACACCGGTTCATTGAAGAAGAGTTGTGTGTATTCTCGGCTGTTTGCTACTCAGCGTGGCCAGAGTCCTTAGAAGCTGCAGCTGGTACAAGACAGTTGTTTCTCTGCTTCTCAGCCACTTCTGCTCTTAGATTTCAATTTCTCTTGTTTTGTTTGTGGTTTGAATTATTTGCTTTCACTTGCTGTACTGTTTTTTTCAGTGCAAACCGACAGCCTCTCTGTGCTGTTGTGGAGTTTTGCTCATGAAGACCCTGACCTTGCCGTGTGTTGGAGCCATGTCCCATGAGGGCCATGCAAGATTTGACTAAAGGCAGCGACTTTGCCACCACAATGAGAAAAGGTTATTTTCTTCTCTTTTGTTAGTCTTCCCCTTTTTTTTTGTGGCTGTCTGGTTTTCCTGGGACTGACAAACGCCACAGCACATCAGCGGGCAGATCAGTATCCACCGAGATCTCACTTGGCTCCCACAGCCCAAGGTGAAAGCCACGTGGCAGCCAGGCGAGCTCGCAGCGAAGTGAGGCTGGCTCCAGCAGGAGCTGCAGGGAATTTGGGCATTTCTGCTTCGTCAGGAGCTTTCTGGCCGTGAGCGTGTGCCCGGGGGAGCGCGGCTGAGCCGCCGGCCTTGGGGAAGGCAGGCAGCAGGCCGGCTCGCTCTGTAATTGGGGGCAGCAACCAGCTGCCTTTGATGTCTGAGCCGGGCTGAGAAAACCTGATGGCAGACTTCAAAGTCGGTTGCACCAGCTCCCCTGATTATCTGCAGGCTTCTGGCGCGTCCCCCAAGACTGCCAGATTATCCCAGCTAATGCTGTGCTCTTCCCCCTGTCCCCCCACCCTGCCTGGCGCCAGCCTCCTGCTTTCAGAGCTGCAGCTTCCATCCCTCCCTGTCCTCCTGCCTCTCCACATCACTGTGGGCACACAGCAGTGGCATTTCTGGGTGGGGGACAGAGCTCCAGAGACTTGTCAATCTAATGAGTTTTGAGGCAGAGGCAGCGTTTTTGGAGAGCTTGCCTACAGCCTGCACCCCTGGGCTGTATTTCCCCTCCCCATTTGGTCACAAGAGCAGCCTGAAATGTGGGGAGCTCTCTGCAGCTGTTCTTTGCAGGGCACAGAGGTGTTTACAACCACACAGGCTGAAAACCCTTCCTGTGCAAAGCTGGATTTGCCTATAACATGGTATGAGGTCTGATTTCCTTTGGATGGTGGTGTTTGTTGTGACTTCAGTGGAAGCCAGCAGTGAGTGTGATGGCTGCAGGCACAGGAAACCACAGCTTCCCTAACCCCAGGCGCCCAAATGGGGTGGGGGAACTTGTGGGAGCCACAGAGCCAGACTGGGATCAGGGTTACAGCCTTTCCTCTGTGCTTGCCTAATCCCTTCTGTGTCTCAACAGACTCCTCCCCCTAAAAATCAACACTGGTTACTGAGTCACCTCCTTCACCCTCAACAGCTTCCTCCACAGCCTTTCCACCCTGATGTGGGGCTGAGCCTGCCTTATTTCCATCTCTCCTCAGGCTCACTGCAGTGTGTAAGGTGAATGTCAGCACTTGTCTAGCCAAGAGGTTTCCAAGTCACTCTGGATGCGGCTGATGGCTGCTCTGCTCTTTTAGCAGAGCCTCCACCTCACTTAGTAACTTTCCATAGTAACTTGGTACTGGGCTTGGTAACTTTCCATGCTGTGCTTTTGGTGGCATTTTTCTGCAAAGCTTTGACCCAAAGTGGCTGAGCAACATCCTAAGAGGGCACCTTCAAAGGGATCCAGGGAGAGGCAGGAGGAAGGAGAATGGAGGCATGCAATTAAAGATGGTCATCACCAGTGTGAAAGACAAAGCCATTGGTCTGGGCAACCAATCCTCAGCTTTATGCTCTGGAGGGGGAGATAGCTGGACCCTGCTGGGGTGCACTGAGAGGTGGCCCTGCTGTGGTGCTGGCAGTAGCCAGGCTGTTCTAGGAGACAGAGAACAAGAGTGTTTAATCCTTATGGGCCAGTGCAGCACTTCAGTTCACCAGGTAGGGCCCTGGGCACATGCAGCACCTGGCTCAGAGGAGGAAAGTCCTCTGCTCTGTGTAGGCACAGGCAGGGACCCTCTGTGCTCTCCAAGAAGCATATTTCCTTGTAATTTCTTGTCTGGTGTCATGCCTGGGAAGATAGGGCACGGGAATCTTTCTCCCCATGGATTTGGACTCCCTGATGTGGCTTCTAATAGCAATGCTGTCTTTGTGAAGAATTCTCTGATCCCCTCCCTTCACCCTGCCCTGCTGTACGTCTGGTTGTTCTGATTTCCCAGAGAGGAAGAGAGTGAGTTTTACACTGTGCATTCCCAGGAAGAGGGATCTGTTGGTTTTGTCCACAGAGCACCATTATTGCCAGGGCTAGGGCTGGGCCAGGCAATCCTATTCTCCCCAGCTTCTTTACTGCAAATGCAAACTGCGACTCATGCATCATTAGAGCTGCAAGCTTGGAGTTAAACTGTCCCCAAGCGTGTGTTTATCTGCACACTGGCTGTCGGGAGCTCACTGAGGTTGAACTCCAAGTTTCCTTTCCATTTACTCTGTCACTGTAGCAGAGATGCTTTTGATGCTTTTCCCTCCTCCAAAGTGGTAAGTGGGCTGGCTTACTGTCAACAGGATGATCCCCCAGGGCAGTGCTGGCAGTGGGCTGCTCTTTGAAAGCAAACCTCTCCATCCCTTTCCTTCTGAAATGGGAAGGTTTAATCCTGCAGCACGGAACGTAAGCCTACCATGCAGTTATGGCTGTGTCCTGCTGCCACAGGGCACAGGTGGGATCCTGCAGGGACCTCTGCCTCTGCCACAGCCCATCCCCTGGTCTGGATTTGGTTTTCTGAAGAGCTGATGAGGAGCTGGTGATGGAGGGTGGAGCCTTGCAGCAAGAGGCCTCTGCCTCCACCTCCCATCCTGTCATATGAGTTGGTTTTATAAATGGGGAAAGGAGGGATCTGGTGTTTGTTTTGGGTCGCTACATGAATCTCATTCCCTCTGGAAGCCCCCTGGGATCCAGCAAGAGGAGCTGTTTTATGGTTGGGTTTTGCTTGTGAATCCCTGAGCTAATTAAGTCATTCAGTCAGTCCCTCTGGCAGCCAGCAGGAGCAGCATGGCTCAGGGATAAATGCTTTGTGCCACCTGGGGAAAAAAGCCCAACAGCCCCAAACAAAGAAAATAACGCCACCCCAAAAATCCCCAAAACCAAAAAAAACCCCCACCAAACAAAAACCCCAAACAAATCATTTCAGCAGTGCCTCTGAGCCCATCTCTAGTGTTTTGGCTACATGACTCAGAGATTGGGTTTTCCCTGCCTAGAATGTGGCCCTGGATGACCCACCATGTCCCAGGACACCCCTGGCACCTGCCAGCAGGAGCCAGCAGCATGTGCCAGGTGATGCAGCCACAGCACTTATCTCTGAGATGTGCCAGAGCCCCTGGGACTGCACTGGAGCCTCCTGACCTCAGCCCTCCAGTGCAGCTTCCTGTGGTCCCACTGCTTCTCCCAGAAGTGTTGGGCCAGGATCTCCCACATCCATGGGATCTGCATACAGGATAGTTCCTGGACAATTCCTGGCTCTGTGGGGATCCTTCAAGAACCAACAAGCTGCTGGACTGGCTGCTATGATCCTCCTGACCATGGAGTGGATGGGCTGGTGGGGGTGCTGTGGGAGGGATGCCCCACTGGGGACACTGGAGTGGGGAGAGCTTGATCAGCCATCTTCAAGGAGCACTGTGCCACCCTGGCCTCTACCAAGGCATGCTGCTGGCTGCAGCCATGGGAAATCAATAGCTGGAGGAACCTTCATCCCTAGAGATCTGCTTCCATCCCTCCCTGGAATCCAGCCCCCTGTCCCCTCCTCGCTGTCAGCAGGGAGCAAGCTGCTCCATGCACTAAAGGGGAAGCAGTGAGACAGAGCTTTAGCCCATGAGCTGCTGTTGACAGCAAAGCCACAGCCAGTGGTGCCCACAGGCAGGCATCTGGCATGGATGCAGTGACAGAAGGGGCTTTGGGCATCGTCACACTTGCCCAGGTGGCCTGGGGACAGGGTGCAGGCTGTCACCTCCCAGGGGGTGTTGCTCTGCTGATGCACCCTGCTCCGTGACTTCTCCCTGCCATTCTGAGCAGAGGAAACCACTGCTGAGAGACAGTTTCCTCCCAGCCTCTCTCTAAACAGCGGCGTGGCCATCGCCCATGAGAACCCACCAGCGCCCCTCTGGGACAGGATCCAAGCAGAGAGGACTCCCATGGGGCTGGCACAGTGTCTGACAGCTGCCTTCCTCTTCCTCTTCCTCCTGGGTGAGTGCCCTGCCCAGTGGCCGGAGCTTTCTTGGAAGTGTTGTGGGGAAAGCAGGGCATGGGGGGCTCAGCCAGCGCTGCTCTGGCTCAGGTGCCATGGGAAGAGGTGCATCAGCCTGTGCTCCTTTTGCACTGTGTTTTCACTCCAAAACGAGAGCCCAAGCCCTAAGAGGGTTTCAGTGAGGGGACATGCATGTCCCCGTTGAGTGGCTGATTGCAGTGTGGAGGGTGTTACCTCGCTCCCTCTCCCATTGGGAGGGAATTTCTGGAGGTTTCCTAGGCAGCCCTGTCACCAGCTCTCTTCCCTAGCCACCACAGTTGTTTTTTAACTCAGGACCATGTCCTGTGGGTATTCTGCTTGGTGTGCATGCTGAGCTCCAGACAGAGCGAATGTTACTGCTGGGAGCTGTATGGAAGGGGAGAGTCTGTGGGTGGCAATCCCCAGACCCTTTGCAAGCAGAAATGGAGGGAGCTCTTGATCCTTCCTTGTGCCCCCTGCCTTCAGAGGAGAGTTCTTTCTGACGTGCTCTCCTCCATTTCTACCTATGGAGCATCTCTGCAGCATCCAGCCTGCTGCTGACCTCCACTGTCCCGTGTCCCTCATCTTCTGTGTTGCATCTCCTCCTCTGGCAATGATCAGCTCTGCACCCCTGCTCCCTGTCCCCCACGCTTTGTGAACTTGGCCCTCTTCATTTTAACACACCACAAGCTTCCTCCAGTGCTCTCAGCCTGGTTGCTGCTTCCCCTGTAGTGCTGCCTGAGAGAGGCTCTTCAGGCACGAACGGGCTCAGCAGCCCTCTGGCCACAATGCTCTGGGCTCTGTCGTGTGACCCCCAGTGTGACGGGAGACAAGAAAGTTCAGGGCTCTGTTGTCACAGGGCTTTTTCTTGTAACTGCCCCCTGCAAAGACTGTGTGTGCTGACAGGTCTGACCAGTGCCCAGCGGCTGGTGACGGTGCAGGAGGGCCCTCTCTACCGCGTCAGGGGCTCCCACATCACGCTGTGGTGCAAGGTGAGCGGCTACCAGGGCCCGGCGGAGCAGAACTTCCAGTGGTCCATCTACCTGCCCTCGGCCCCCGAGCGGGAGGTGCAGATCGTCAGCACCATGGACCCCTCGTTCCCCTACGCCATCTACACGCAGCGCGTGCGCGGCCGCGGCATCTTCGTGGAGCGGCTGCAGGGCGACGCCGTGCTGCTGCACATCACCGAGCTGCAGGAGCGCGACGCCGGCCAGTACGAGTGCCACACGCCCAACACCGACAAGAGGTACTTCGGCAGCTACAGCGCCAAGACCAACCTCACAGGTGGGTCCTGAGTGGGAGCCCTGCTGTCCCCACAAGGACATCTCATCTGTCAGAGGGACACTGGGGAAAAGGGATGGCGAGTGGGGCTGAGGTAGGTATGTCAAGATATCCATCACTTTGCATGTTCTTTGGTTTGAGGAACGTTTGAAGGAGCTGGGGCTGTTTAGCCTGGAGAAGAGAAGGCTTAGAGGTGACCTTATGCTTTCTGCAACTTCCTTCCCCCTGGACAGGTGGGGGTCGGTTCTCAGGGCTTTAGCTGCTCACAGTGACCCCAAGATACATTAGAAAGTCTCTTTTCCTAGCTGGGCAGTCAAAGGAGTGAGAACTCTTCAGTTCTTGGTCTCAAGGTTGTTTATTGTTTCTTATCTATAAAATTCTTTCTCCTGGCCTGCCGAGGTCCGCTCAGCAGGACGGACAGAGGCACTCTGCCTGCCCCTGGGTGGTGTTATCTTTTTATACTAAAAACTACATGTACAATATTTACAATTACTTTCCAGTACCTATCACCTATGTTAGACAGTGAACTTCTACTCTAAACCAATCTAAAAGTGCCAAGATGGAGGCCAAGAGGAAGGAGAAAGGCTGGACACGTCCAGATTCCTCCATCTTGCCCCCCTGAATCTCTAAGCCTCCTCTTCTCCCATTCTAAAAACCCCAAAAAATCTATTTTCCACCCCATGACAAACTAATTATTATTCTGCATATACTTTCGTGGCCTGCAGATCTTCATATAAGGTTGGTAACTTTTTCCATGGGTCATAATCCAAGTCACTGGTGTCTTGAGTTCTGTGCCAGGGTCTCTGAGCTCCCTGGCAGGGGTCCTGGCAATCCAGGACAGTTGGTCTCTTCCACTGGGCAGCAAACTGACAGAATAAGAGGACACAGTCTCAAGCTATGTCAGGGAAAGTATAGGCTGGATACTAGGAAAAAAATTTTTCACTGAAAGAATAATAAAGTACTGGAATGCAATAAAGCACTTGGTGCTGTAGTCTAGTTGAGGTCTTAGGGCATAGGTTGGACTTGATCTTAGAGGTCTCTTCCAACCTCATTATTCTGTGATTCTGTGGATATTTCCTCCCAGCCAGAGCAAGGGGAGGAAAAGGAAGCCTCTGCCCTCCCATGGCCTGACTTCAGCTCCTGACACAGACACAGTGTGTTGCAGCTGAGCACGTAGGAAGGCAGAGGAGTTTCCAGGCTCTGTGGGTGTGGGAATTGACCCAAGTGGGATACCCACAGATGGAGGGAGGTAGCAGCTCCTGCACACCATGGAGAGGGAAGGGAGTGGGGTGGAGATACAGAGGGAAAGGCCCAGCTGTGAGCCCACAGAGTCTACATGGTGGTATGGTGCTTCCACTTGGTGTTCAGCCCTGTTTTCTCCTTTATCTTGGTGCTGCACTGGTGATAGATCTCACCATTTGAGACAGTGAGGGGATGGATTCTAATCTCCTTGGGGTTGCCTAATTATTACTGACTGCAGTCTGGCTGAAGAGGGCACTGTGAAGAGATTGACTTTTTTTTTCTTGTTTGCTGAGGTTTTAGTCACTTCACACCTCAACAAGAGATGATGGAAGCCTTGTCAGTCAGCTACAGGTTTCTCTCCTGTGCTGTCAGATCCCTTAGGCCTGGTTGCAGATTCTTGGGAGTTGTCCTTGAGAGAGTCCAGGAGCTGGACTCGGTGATTCTCGTGGGTCCCTTTCAACTCAGGATATTCTGTAATTCTGTGTTTCTCCCCATGCTCAGTGATTCCAGACACCCTCTCGGCTTCCATGGCACCCCAGGCCCTCAGTCACATGGAAGGGGATGTGGTGGAGCTGACCTGTGAGGTGTCCAAGGCCACTGCCCAGCACACCCATCTCTCCGTTGGCTGGTACCTTCTTCAGGGAGCAGGAGAGCAGCCTGCCAAGGAGATCCTTACCCTCTCCAAGGACTTCATCCTGAAGCCAGGGCCCTCTTATGAGCAGAGGTTCCTGGAGGGGGATGTGCAGCTGAACAAGGTTGGGAACAGCACGTACAAGCTCGTCATCAGGGGAGTGAAGCCATCTGAGCAGGGGCAGCTGTACTGTGAGGCAGCCGAGTGGATTGAGGATCCTGACAAGACGTGGAAGGACATCTCCCGCCACCAAACTCAGAGGACTTGGCTGGCAGTGTTGAGCCGGGGTAAGGCCTTTGCAAACTCAAACTCACCTGTTGGCCCCAGCTCCCCTGTGCATTCCAGGCTCTACAGCAGCAGAATTCAGTGCCCCTTCACCTGCCTGTGCCACAGCCCAGGGACACACTGATGGGTTTGGCTGGGCACTGAGGGGCTGGGCTGGACTGGGCTGGGCTCAGGGCCATGGCAGAGCTGGTCAGGAGCTGATGGTGCTTTGGCTGCTTGTGCAGCCAAATCCCCGATGCCAGCAGCAAGGCCACAGCCTCACAGACCTATGTGAGGTGTTAGCAGAGGGCACAGCATGTGCCCACAGCAGCCTGGATGGATCCTTGGCAGTGCTGTGAGGCCACAGCCTCACAGACCTGTGAGGTGTTAGCAGAGGGCACAGCGTGTGCCCACAGCGGCCTGGATGGATCCTTGGCAGTGCTAACTCCAGAGTGTGGAAACAGGGTTGTTACACTGCCTCAAGGCTCTTGTGGCCTTAAAGTCAGCTGCTCCTCACTGTGCCTCAGCACAGGGACCCAGGGGTGGCCTGTGTGTGCTGCACAGCTCTTGTTGGGGGTGGTTTCTCTGTCCCTGCTGCCACCAGCTTGTTTCCAGAGCAACTGGGGCTGGTATTTGTAAGGCCTTTCCTCTGAGCCCCCTGTCTGCCATCCCTCCTGCCACAGCCTCTGCTGGCTGTGCTCCTCACCCTGCCCTTCCCACAGATGTGTGTGAGTAGCTGTGCCCAGGGGAAGGGAGAATCTCGCTGGGGGGTGGTTTCTCTGTCCCTGCTGCCACCAGCTTGTTTCCAGAGCAACTGGGGCTGGTATTTGTAAGACCTTTCCTCTGAGCCCCCTGTCTGCCATCCCTCCTGCCACAGCCTCTGCTGGCTGTGCTCCTCACCCTGCCCTTCCCACAGATGTGTGTGAGTAGCTGTGCCCAGGGGAAGGGAGAATCTCGCTGGGGGGTGGTTTCTCTGTCCCTGCTGCCACCAGCTTGTTTCCAGAGCAACTGGGGCTGGTATTTGTAAGACCTTTCCTCTGAGCCCCCTGTCTGCCATCCCTCCTGCCACAGCCTCTGCTGGCTGTGCTTCTCACCCTGCCCTTCCCACAGATGTGTGTGAGTAGCTGTGCCCAGGGGAAGGGAGAATCTCTCTCTCTCTCTCACCAGTCAGCTTTAGCTCAAAGCTGCCAAGACAAGGCTGTGGCTAATTGGTGTCCTTTAACACAGGGTGCAGTAAAATGGATCAGTCTCCCGCTGAAGCCCTACCTGTGGGGGTGATGTACCCTGTCCCCACTGCTCAGGGCGGGTGCAGGAGGCCTCAGAGCAGAGCTGGGGCAGCGAGGGGAACTGGTGTCCTGTGGGAGGGCGGTGAGTCAGAGCAGGAAACCAGAGACACAGACGGGTGAGAACTCAGCTCTCGAACGTGGCTCAGGGGAGCAAGGTACCAGGAGGAGGGGGAGGGAGCTGTGCTCTCTTGTCACTTTGTTTCCTGAAACCTGTCTGAGTGGCTAAGCTTTTATTCTCCTCATTGTGCACTGTTTGCAGCAAAGGCAATGGCAATGGCAGTCCTGTGCATCCTCTTGTTAAGGGGGGCTTGTTATGACTGGCAGTGTGAGGATTCAGGCATCAGTGCCATGGGATTGTTTAGAAACCTTGTCAGAGTTTGGTATTTGTAAGTGTTAATGGTAGAAGGGAGGTGATGGTGGTGAGAGGACCATGGTGGCAGTGTTGGTGCTCCTGGTATTGCCACAGTGGGACAGCAGTGGGTGTGCAAGCCCTCCATCAAATTTGCAGGGCTGGTTTTGTCCTCCAGCACCCAGTGGGGGACCCCAGGGCTGAGCACCCCGTCACTCTGAGAGCCATCAGCCACTATGACCATGGCTGGCTGCTCCATGGGCTTCTATAAACTCTGCAGCAAATATTTAGGAATGCCAAACATATCTGCAGCAGCTGGGATTCCTGTTCACAAACTGTTTATGAACCAGTGTTTGAATTCACAGGGTGCTGTGCTTTAGGTAAATTATTTGAGCCCTTCCAGTTGTGGTCTGGGAGCTGCTCTGTTTTCCTTCCAAACTAGAGCACGTAACCTTTCCCTTGTTCTGAGACTCAGGGGGCACCACAGTGACCCAGGGACACAGTGGTGTGAGCCAGGGAATGGGGGCTCTGTCCTTCCTCAGGTTTTTGGCCATTCCAGTGCTTTGTGGGGCCATGGCTCAGGGTTTTGGGATACCAGTGGGTCTCCTGCTTGCAGCCACTGTGCAGCCAGGCTGATGCCAGGAACCAGGGGCCTTGAATGCCCAGTGAGGAAGGTGAATGCTGTCACAGCACCCAGAGATGGGGTCCCTACCTCAGACACAGCTGACTGACTGCCCCAGAGGGTCTGCCAAGGGGAAGATGGCTTTAATTCCCCCTGTCACTGCCTTCTTTGCTCAGCACCTCCTGCTAATTGGTGTGGGGAGCAGGATCCACCTTCTCTTTCCTCCTTCCTGCCTGATGTGACAAGTCTTGGCATTTCTGCTTTCTGTAGGAACTTAACCCAAATCCTCTCCAGCTTGGAGAGCACCTCTTGCCCACAGCCCACAGCAGCTACTGGGGTTTCAGCATGCAGGAACAGCCACAGTAGATTGAGAAAAGCCCCTTCGTGCACCTTTTTCTATCACAAGCAGAGTTAAAACCACCACTGTGATAAAAGCCCTTTGTGTCCCTTTTTGGCTTACAGGATAGATGTTCCATGAGGTAAAACAGCTCCAGGAGGTGAGACAGAGCAGCACCTGCAAAAGCTGATGCCTCTGAGTTAGGGCAGGGCCCAGTTCCAATGCCTGAGCTGAGCAGGGGGAGGCTGTGGCACAAGGCTGTCCCAGTGAGTCCTCTGTTGGGTTTATCTGCTCTTAAGGGGGGAGCTCAGCTCCCCAGGGCTCTGGCTCTTCCTCCACCCGCAACTGCTGCTTAGTGCCCACAGCTGGCAACCCTCTCCCCAGGGTCAAGTTTTCCATCCTGACCACTTTTCTTATGAAAAACCCCACATTTTAACAGAGAATTCCCTCCTGCTGCCCTCTGCACGGCCACTGGTGCTGCCAGGCAGGAGGGCAGCAAGGGCAGCGCCACCCACCACCCTCCTTGTTTTTGGCTGCCCACAGGCACAGAGCTCTCCGTGGACCTCACTGCCACTGAACCCTCCCTTTCTGAAGGGGACACCTTGCAGCTCAGCTGTGTGCTGGAAGCCCCAAAGAGCAGCAACTTCAAGGTGCTCTGGCTCCTCAATGGCATGGAAGTGGCCAGGGTTGATCCCCACGGGGTGTTGACCTGGGAGGAAGAGTACGAGGAGAGAGCCAGGCTGGGGCAGCTGCGAGCAGTCAAGCCAAGCAACACAGTTTATGTTTTCACCATCTCTGAGGTGGGGCTGGAGGACAAGGGCACCTACCAGTGCTCTGTGTCAGAAATGAAGACTCCTGGAGACTTGCAGAGCATCCAGACCGTTGTGTCATCAGGCATCCAAGTGGACGTGAAGCCGGCAGGTTAGTAAATCCTCACAGCTGCTCTGCTGGGTGAAGTCTGCAGGATCCTTGACTGGGAAATGCTTCAGGTCTGGCCTCATCTTGACAAGGCAGCAAGAGTGCAAATGTACCAGGGTTTTTGATAGATAATGGGAAAAACATTTGTATTAGCCCATATTAACATGACAGACATGGTAGCTGTCAACAAAGTGTAAACCTTTAGTCAAATCTCTTCACAGTAAGTTTTGGGGCAAATAGGTAGAATTCTGAGGAGTCTGGATCCTCCTGTATCTTTGGTACTGAAAACTGTGAGCAACATCTGCTGCTGCTCCTGAAAATGACAGGAAAACCCAGCAGAACAGGCACATCTGGGGAGGGGGATCATTGTCATTTCCATCAGGGTACTCTCACTGTTTTGGATGGATGATTTGTGAGAAACCACTCTTAGGAAAGTGTGTAGGAGGCTCTTGGTTTCCTTGTCATAGCTAGATAATGGTTATTCTGATGTAGCAGGAGCTGCCTGCTGGGACTCTGTTTCTTAACTCATTCTTTAGGTATCCGTGTCCCAAGAAAGACATAAAACAGAAAAAAAACCCCACAAAAAACCAATGAAAACAAAACAAAAAACCACCACCACAAAGCTTTCTCCAAATTTATATGAAAAGGCTGGTTGAAAATTTCAGGCAATTCCCCAATATCACTGGAGGGGTATTGTGGCAGCTAAAGGTGATACAGAGACTCCATCATCACAAGGCATGAAAAGACACCTTATTATTAGAAATCTACAGTTCTTATAGAAACAATGGTGGACTTAATATCTGACTGGCCTTTAGGAACCTTCTCTCATACAGTTGGTGAACTATGAATGGCACATTCTGGAGAACCATATCTATAAACAACAGTTACAGAAAGAGAGATATTAATTGTTTGAATTATTTCCTCTAAGTTTCTCACTGCTTCTTACAGCTTCCCAGGATTTTCCTGGGAGAACCCTGTCTCTCTCTGCTCAGAGAATATGTAATTACTACACCCCAACTCCTTTTCCAAAATCAAGATTTGTCTGGTCTTCCATGTAACGCTAGAGTATCTCTGGCTTTTCCTAAGGAGCGCAGCATCCCAACGTGGTCCCTGTCCTTTGCAGAGAGCCACCTGCACCTGTCTGTGTCCACCAGCACCCCACGGGTGACAGCAGGAGACCCCCTCACACTGCACTGCGAGGTGCAGGGAGCCACCGGCCCCGTGTCCCTGCGCTGGTGGCACCTGTCCCCGCAGCAGCCGGGGCACAGGGAGCTGGTGGCTGCCATGGAGCAGGACGGCACCCTGAGCCTGGGCAGCGCCTACCGGGACGGGGGGGCTCGGGGCAGCCTCAGGCTGCAGAAAGAGAGCTCTGGCACCTTCACCCTGGTGATCCCCAGCACACTGGATGAGGATGATGGTGGGCAGTACCGGTGTGAAGCCACGCAGTGGGCCCGAGGCCGGAACTGGACAGGCAAGGGAGAGGCAGCGGTGACGGTCACCTCCATGGGTGAGTTCGACCATCCCTATTTCTGGGTTGGAGAAGTGGGTGGATCTCCTTTTCCCAGCCCAGCAGTTGAATAAGGAGTAAGGATTCTTCTGTTCTCATTCTCAAGGTTGCTTATTATTTCTTATCTCTAACATTCATTCTCCAACCCACTGAGGTCTGTCTGGCAGGTTGGGTTGAAACACACTGGCTGCCCTCACAGTTGGTTGGATGGTGTTCTCATCCAACTCACCTTCTCATCCAACTCATCTCTGCAGCCACAACAGCCCTGTTCTCCACAATACCAGCAGTTTCACTCCTAACTCTACTAGTTCTCTTCTTCCTAACTATCCTAGAGGTAGCAGTAGCGATAATCCAAGCCTATGTCTTCATGCTCCTACTGAGCTCTACCTACAAGAAGATATCTAATTCTCAATGGGACACCAAGCACATTCTGATCACATAGTAGACCCCAGCCCCTGACCCATCCTAGGAGCAGCTGCTGCTCTCCTAACCACCTCAGGACTAACAATATGATTCCACTACAACTCCCCTTGACTCCTTATTCTATATTCTTTTATACTAAAAGCTACGTGTACATTATTTACAATAACTTCCCAATACTTATTGCCTATGTTAGACAGTGAGTTTCTATCTTAAACCAATCCAAAAGTGCCGCCATCACCCAGATCATGGAGGCTAGGAAGAAGAAGGAAGGAGCACAGGGTACACCCAAATTCCTCCATCTTGGGACCCCGAGTCCCCTTTCTAAAAACCTCAAAAATCTATTTTTAACCCCATGATAAACTATTATTCTACTTAAACTCTCTGGACTTGTAATTCTTCATATAAAGGTTGGTAATTGTTTTTGCATGGGTCAAGATCAAAGGCACAGGGGTCTTGGGCTCTGTGCCAAGGTCTCTGAGTCCCTTGGGCAAGGGCTCGAGTCCTCCAGAGCAGCCAGAGGAATTTCCTGGGTTCTGACAGGTGGACGCATCACTGGGACATAGGCCTGCTGTGCTCTGAGCTCTGCTGCTGCTGCAGGGTGACTCAGGGCTGATCACTTGGTCCTGCACTGCTTCAGTTTCTCCATTTCTACCACAATGCCAGAGTCCTCCATGGTGTGTTTTGGGAGAGACCAGTGGGAGACAACAGCTGAAATGCTCGGGGACCTGAGGGGCAGTATCTTGCTCAGCAGGCCTGTCTCCTTAAGCTGGAATACAAAATATCTGTTCTAGCAGCATAATTACTTGCAGTAATTAAGTTCCACAAAGCTACTTGCTGAGTTGTCTGGTGGAATTGATCAGAGATACACCCCTGGTGCTGGCCTCTGATTGCTTCTCCTGCCCTCTCCTCTGAGTGCAGAGCTGCTCATCTCCGTGGTGTGCAGTGACCATGTCCTTCCTTCTTGGGTGCCTGTATGGAGAGGCAGCTTCTGGCTGTGATTTAGGGTGATTTAACTTTCTTGTTGCTGATCTGGGTGCCTGTGAGAGCACAAGTGAGGCCACAGGAATTGTTAAGCTTTTGTAGAGGGTGGAGGGAAGCAGCAAACAGGACAGCAGCATCAGCAGAGGATCCCTGGCTCCTCTGGTGTGGAAAAGAGGGTACTCAGGGTTTTCTGGGAAACTGGGATGGGAAAAGGAGAGGGCCAGGGGCTGCATGGGGTTGGCAGAGCACTGTGGAGCTAAGTGGGGAGTGGTATGGGCACAGGAGGAGCAGCACTACAGGTGCCATGGCCCTGCAGTGCCTGGGGCTGTGTGGTGGGGTGGCACAGGGCAGGATTTGTGTCCCATGCCAAGGGCAGGATTTGTGTCCCCCATGCCAAGGGCTCTCTCCTCCCTGGCAGGTCTGGGTCTGCAGGCCACGCTGAGAAGCCGAATGGCCACGGTCACTTACGGGCAGAGTTTTGAGCTCTTCTGCCAGGTGTCTGCCAGCTACGCCCTGGAGGAGGTGCCGCTGTCTGTGCGGTGGCGTTTCCAGCCCAGCCTGCCCGCGGGTCCCTTACAGGAGCTGGTGCAGGTCCTTCCCAATGGCACTGTGCTCTGGAGGTCAGCACAGCCACGCTTCCAGGGCAAAGCCCAGCTGGCCAAGACTGACAGCTCCTTCAGGCTGCACATCCACAGCGCCTTGCCTGCCAACGAGGGGATGTACCAGTGTGAGGTGGAGGTCTGGAGGAGGAACGTCCTGCCCCTGGGGCAGCCAGCAGCCAGCACCAGCTCCAATGCCGTGGGAATAAGAGTGGTGCTGCCAGGTAAGCAGAACCTTCAGCAGAGGTCTCTCCTGCAACTTTAAATCCATCAAATGTCACCAGGGGCAACCAGGGCTGCTGATGTCTGGGGTGTCCCCAGGACTGCAGGAGATGGTGCTGCCTCTTCTGGTGCTTCCTCAGCACTTGACAAAACCTTGGAGGCAAATTTGGTGCTGGCAAATTATTGCTGGTAAGCAGTATCTATTTGTTGGCAGATTACACCAAGCATGTAGGAATCAGCCTTGCCACTAGGATTTTAAGCCTGGTTTCTGGAAAGAAGCAGTGCTCCCCTCAAGAAGCCCAGCTAAATGTTTGGGGTGCAAGGTACACCCCATGGTGTGGGCTTCTGGGAGGCAGTGGAGAAAAACCAGCCCCTGAAGCTGATGCTGGGATATGCCTGTGTTCCCTGACCAGGATATATTGAAGGTATGCTGAGAAAGCACCAGGCCCCTCTGCCGGGCTGGGAGCCAGCACTGAGCCTCAGGGTACCAGGGGCTCCATGGGGAGCCATCTCCTGCCAGGCACAGCTGGGCTGCACAGCCAGGGCCCTGCCCAGGCTTCCCTTTTATGGGCATCCCTGCAGGCAGGGGCTGTGCTGCCATCCCTCCTGCCAGCATACTGCTGGGAGCCTCATCCTCTTATGGAAGAGAGATGCTGCGAGCAGACAGACCCCAGCCCCCCAAGGCAGCATGATTCTTGCCACCCCAGCAGCACCACGGTGCCAGCGTGCCCTGCTCACAGCCGGGGCTGCAGGGTTTGTCCTGGCCAAAGCCTCTGAGCTCTGCAGGCAGGCGTGAGAACATGGGCTGGTTTGGATTTTTGCCCTGGTGTCTTTTCTGCCAGCAAAGGAGAGTTCTTGCTCTTTTTTTTTTTTCTTCCCTTGCAGTAAGTGTTCCTTCCTCTAAAATCCTTGGATTCCAAATCCTTGGAATCACAACCCGGTGAACTGAAATTATGCATTTTTCATGTATTTGAACTGATGGGTTTGCTGTGGTATAGGCTAATACATTTCCTACCCTGTCTAAGCTCTTTTCTCTGGAGCTCTCTCCTCTTCCACTGTTACTGATTCCTCACCCCTGTGGAGTTGGGATGCTCTGCAGCTACAGCCAGCTGGGGCAGGGTGGCACTGAGGCAAAGGGGTGACAATAATCAGCATCTCTGAGCACCCATCTCTAGTGTAAATGGCATTAAGATGAGCAGGTGTAATTGCAGAGCATCTACACAGAGGAGCTGGTAGCAGCATGAGACTCCAAATGTCACATTTGGCTCCAAATGTGTTGCAGCTGCTGCTGGAGACTGTGACTCCATAAAAGATGGTGGGAACTGGGAGAGGGTGATGCACAGTGGGAGTTTCCTGTTGGTTCTAATGCCACCTCTCTTGGAAAGGCAGCCCAAGCCAGTGGAGGATATTTGGGAAGGTAGCGAAGTCTGGGGAGGAAGCTGGCTCAGGCAGCAATAGGGTTGAGGGGAAGCTGCAGAAAATGAAGCTGCAAATCATGAAAATCACCAGCCTGCTTCTCCTCATGTAAAACCTCATAGCTGGAGCCTGTAGAGATACTGGAGTTCTTGAGTTTTTGCTTCAACACTTTGTTTACTACTTGATGTCAGTTGGTGCTTTCGGAGTTTACATGTTGCTGTGATCTATGGAACATCAGCTGGGAGGGACATCCATGAAATATTATAGCAAACAGGGAAGGAGGACAGATCTTTTCCATTTCCAGTATCTAAGGTGAGATCTCATAATTAGTGCTCCATGAGCCTCTCAGTGCAGCTGCTTCCCCCACTCTGGAGTGGGCATTTTCACCTTGTGTCCCTCAGGCCAGCAGCCCACATGAGCTGTGTCCCTCTGCCTGCTCCACTGCTCAAGCCAAGAGTCAGCAGGCAACGTTCACAGGGAAACAGGCAGTGAGGTGCTCAGCTTGGTTAATTAAATTGAAAATGAAAGGGAGAACAGCACCATGGATTTATGTGAGAAAGGAAGAGGCAGGCAGCTCCTCTGCCCTTTTGGTAAATGGTCTTTAGCAGCAGAGAGAGAGGAGACCTGGAGTTAAAACAAAAGGGCTTTGCAGCAAGTGCTCTGCTTCCTCTTGAGGTGATCTCTGAGAGTGTAACAGCAATTTTCCTCTCAAAATCAAGCACTCAGTGTGTGCCACTCTGAGATCTAGCAGCTTTTTCTTCTCTGGAGCATTCTCTGCCCCAGTGGGTATCAGGCCAGGTCATACTAGCAGCAAGACCCTGCCTGCTCCCTCATCCCCTGGCACTTCACTGACTGGCTGAGGAGTATCCTTGGTGCTGAGCAGATGAAGTTCAGAATTAGGTGTCTTATTTTTTCAAGTGTGCTTAGTTCACCTGTCACAGAAACCCAGGATGGTGGAGATTGGCAGGGACCTCTGGAGGTGCCCTGGTCCAACTCCCTGTGCAAGCAGGGCCACCTAGAGCAGGCTGCCCAGAGTCATCTCAGATGGCTTCTGAGTATCTCCAGTGTCCCCCTCTGAACATTTGAGCTTCCACAGAGCCAGCTCTGGGACGGGTGTGCTTTTAAATACTGAAGTTTAAAACATCAGCTTGCATCTAGTTCCCAGGTGTGCTCAAGTCTGTGTGGTTTTCATGGTGGATCTGATGAGCTTGCACAGTGTCGTAATTAGGGTGACTGCTGTCCCCTCTCTTCTGCTTTTTGCCCATACCTGTTTCGTCAGAGCAGCAAATGCACACTGTGAAATGCAGGACAGCACTGTGATCCCTTGGAGCATCCACCTCCCATTCATCCCAGTGAGTGTTGCTGTGGAAATCCTCATCACTGAGGATTATTATTGAGACAATAAGCAGATACTGGGACTTGTGAATGTCCCCCTGTGGAGCAAACTGCCAACCTTTTGGTGAAAGTGTTTGCAGAGAGAAGGAAGAGTAATGGGGTGCAAAGAGAAAAGGATAAGCAGGGAGGTTTTGTGGGCAGATTTCCCAGAACAGAGGCTCTACAGGGGTGTAAAGAGATATCAGTTGGGATATTTGTCTTTGACCAGTCTCAAGAGAGGCAGTGAAGGGCTCTGAAGTGGATTGCTTGAGTTTTGAGAAGGAATCCTTGAAGGAAGGGGAAATGTGAAAGCTTTTTCCTGCAGTGCCTCCTTACTCCTCATCCCTTTAGGAGAAGCTGCAGCTCCCTCTTGTCCCAAAGCCCTCTCCACAACCTGCTGCCACCACATCCCTTGGGACTGGGAGGGAGAGTTCCCTGCTGAGCCTGTGGCCAAGGACAGGGGTCTGAGACATTCTGAGGGACCATCTCAATGTGAACTCTGCTGCCTGTCCCCAAACCAGCACCCAGGGGCCGAGCCTTAAGGGAGCTCAGTTGTCCCCAGCCTCTGTGGCCGAGGGTGTCCTGCTGCTCAGCTCATATGCAAGGAAAGGGCTAAGAATGGAAACTCAGCCTACAGTCCCTTAAAACCCTGATGGTGAGGAATTTCTCCCTACCTGAGGGTAATACCTGTGTGTATTCCTTCCCCTGACTGCTGAGCATGGAGGGGAGGGTGGAGGGAAATGCAGGTGGCTGGAGGACCTTTAAAGATATGGATTTGCAGCCTTTTCCCTGCTGGAGAAGAGGTTCCAGCAACAGGTGATGTGCTGTGGGAAGAGGTTCCTTTGGAGCAGGAGCAGCACAGACACATCAGGATTTCCCTCTGCCCAGGGCAGAGCTATCAGCAGCACCATCCCTCTGCTCTCCTCAGCTGCACAGCACTGAACAATCTCTGGGTGTGATCATAGAGCGTGTGCAGGACTCTGGTGTGTGGTTTTGGATTAATAACCACAGCAAACACCTGAGATGGCAACTGTTAGTGAAACCCACAGAGGCTCTGTAGTCTCTCTATGATAAAAGACATGTGTTCACAGTCTCCAAAGCTGTTTGCTGCTTTTGTCACGTATGTGTGAGCCTGCTGATGGGAGCAGTGGTAGACGGACACATTTGCTTCAGACAGAGGCTTTGCCTCCCAGCTCCAACACAATGGCTGCCTCCATCCCCCATTCCTGCTCCGTGGTCTCCAAGGCACCTCCTCTGCTACTCTCCTGCCCACTAACACCCAGCTGTGATTCCCTGCTATTGTTTGAACAAGGCTGTGTGGATTTGCTCTTTCCCTCCTCCCTCTGCTCCAGCATCCCCTAATGAGCCTTTTTCCTCTGTGTACCCTCTTCCTTACTCCTCTTCCAGTGTGTTTCTCTCAGCTTTATTCCCCTCCTTGTCAGTATCCCTGTACTGGCAGCTGCATCTGGCATGACTGTTTTGTTTCTCCATTTTAGAGAGCAAGCTTCAGGTTGATATGAAAGACAGCTCTGTGGAAATTGCCAGTGGTAATGCAGCCATTCAGTGCAGGATTGTGTTTGCCCAGGAAAATCCACAGTTTGCTGTTACCTGGTACCTCCTGCCTCCTCTGGCAGACACAAAACCCCTGCAAATCCTCAGGGCCAACCACAGCAGCGTACTGGAGTACGGGTCTGAATTCAGCTCTCCTGCACAACAGTCCCGCTTCCTGAGCCAGAGGGTGTCCAGCAGCCTATTCCAGCTGCAGATCCTGTCTGCAGACCTGGGGGACCAGGGCAGCTACTACTGTGTGGTGGAGGAATGGCTCTGGCTGGTGGATGGCTGGTACAAGCTGGGAGAGGGAACATCGGGAAGGACCACGCTGAAGCTCAAACTCTCAGGTGAGCAGGTGTTATCCCTTGTGTACGTGCTGCTGGATCAGCTTATGACAGGCCCCTGCCAGGCCTCTCCTAAGCTGGCAGGGCTTAGGAAAAGCAGCAGCTCCTGTGTTGGATCAGAGGCTTAGGGATGCAGGAGTTGTCAGTGCCTCTCAAAGGGAAATAGGGAATTAGGAAGATTTACCACATACTCCCAAGCCAACCGAGCTGCTATTTTTGCTACTGGCAGATGTAGTGGAATGCTTCACAACAAAGTGAATTTTGGCCTTTTTCTTTTCCCTCCAACACCTGGTGCACTTGGGTGGTTGTGCAACGCTGTGAATAGAGAAGCTGCCCTTACCTGGTGCTGCTGAGCATCCTGAAGGAAGACACGTGGTTTTCCTTACCCTGCAGCAAGCACATTGCTGCTAAGGAACAAGACTGGAGGTTCAGCTGCTCTCACCTTAATCACTGCACCTCTGGGGTGCATGGTGGGTCTCCCTGGCTCAGTTCTTCCCTCTCTCAGCCTGACTCCAGCTCTAAATAAAGTGCATCAGAGAATTCCAGCTTCCTAAACAGCTTTTGGTCCACAAGATGCCTTTATCACTTATTTGGAGGGGGTAGGAAGCATTACTGCACAGGGGGCAGAGATGATGGGCAGGGTGGGGATGCAACAACCAGGGAGAATGAGTCACAGCAGCAAGGGGCCTGTGGGAGGCCATTCCAATCCCTCACACTTCGCTCCAGAAGGTTCCTGTCAGCCTGTGGGTGCGGGCAGAAGTGTTTTTACAGCTGTACAACACCACAACATCTCTTTCTGCTCTCACTCTTCCCCGGCACAGAGCGCGAGCTGCAGATGGAGAAAACCAACGGCAGCATCTCCGCGCGGGAGGGCGAGGAGGCCACGCTGCCCTGCCGGCTGCAGGGAGCCCTCCTGCCCCGCTCACAGCTCTCAGCCACCTGGTTCCAGGTGCAGGGCAGCGGCCGTGACGGCGCCCTGCTGTCCCTGCGGCGCGATGGCACCGTGCAGTACCCCGAGGGGCGCCTGGCAGCCAGGCTGTTCCTGCGCCGGCCCTCTGCCCGCGACTTCAGCCTGACACTGAGCAGCGTGGAGAGCGGAGATGCTGGGGCGTATTACTGCCAGCTGCAGCAATGGCAGCAGCAGGGCGAGGGCAAGGACTGGTCTGTGCAGGCCTTGGCACGCTCAGGGCACACCCAGCTCGTCACCATCCCGCCAGGTAACAGTGCTGGGTGCCAGGGGCTGGTCCCCTCCTCTCCACAGAGCCATGCTGGGGCCAGGACCTCAATGGTTTGGGGGGAAAATTCTTGGTGTGACTTCTCTGGAAGGTCTGTCTAGGCTGAGATCTCTCTAAACTTCACTTTGGGGTGAGTGGAGTCGCCTGCTGGGTGCAAAGGTAGTGTCACAGACATGTTTTATGAAAAATCCTTTCCTTAGGATTTTTCCTCCTGAGAAGCTGAGAGGCCTCAGGAACAAAATGTAAACATTGATTATCTGCTGCTGTGGAATGCAGCAGGTGCATTTGCGATTGGTCTCATGTGGTTGTTTCTAATTAATGGCCAATCACAGTCCAGCTGTCCAGACTATCTGGGTCAGTCACAAGCCTTTGTTATAATTTTCTATTCTAAGCTAGCCTTCTAAAGAAATCCTTTCTTCTATTCTTGTAGTATAGTTTTAATATAAGATATATATCACAAGGTAGGATTCTATTCTGGTAGGAATCCAAAATCACTGGATTCTGCATGCAGAAGTTTAAGTAAATAAAAGCAAAGGTTTCAGTCAGGTGCACGCAGCATTTTTAGGAGGGTAATAGGCAAGAGTTGTTGCTGCTTTGAGAGAATAGGAGGCTCAGATGACCCATGTGGAGGAAAAAATATAAACTGTGAGATCAATCATGATGCACCCAGCTGAGAGGATCCTGCACTTGTACTCACCTTCAGCTCTGGGGTTGCCATGCCTGAAGCCAGCCTGGATGCCTACACGAGTTCTGGCTTCTGCAGCAATTCCCAGAGCTGAGCAGCATGGAAAGAGAGACCCTGCAGAGCCCTCCCCTCTGCCTGCTGCTCCCACAGCCAGGCACAGGCCTGCTCTCATGGCTTTGCACCTACAGCAGAGCTAATCTGGATTTAATTGCACAGAGAGGGACTGACAGCACTTCATCCCCCCTGCTGCTCTGTTACTGCTGTTATCCATCACAGCTCTCTAGCACGCAAGATTTCTCCTTCATCAGCTCCCTCTAGCTCTTGTTACCCATTACTGGTGGAAAAACCATTGCTAAAATTGCTCAGTAACTGGTAGTAAATTCTCCTCCAATTTTTGAATAAGTGTTTTTGCCAAGTGGTTTTCACAAAAGGCCAAAGATTAGCTGGGTGTTTTTTCTTTCTCCCTCTCTTTTTCCTTTTTTTTATTTTGGGTGGCCATGTGTGTGCATGTGTGTTCCTCCAGTGATGCAGGCATGTTTGAAGTACCCAGCAGCCTTCCCCTCAGCTCGGGAGCTGTTCTGCAGGAGCTGCCAGGGATGAGGATGATGCTCACAGCTGCCTGCTGCTCATTGGGGATGAAATACAACAGCAGATCAGCAATAACAAGGAGGGGCAGATGTCTGGGGGGGACAGGCATCTCTTGGTTTGGTTTCCTTTGCTTTCCTCTTATCCCATCTTGCTCAGGGGTGCAGCCTCTGACATATTTCTGCCTCATCCCACTGTCAGTGGTGTCAGACAGGGTGTGTTGCTTTTCCTCACTGAGCCCAGTCTGGAATGGGTTAGCAGAAGAACTGGGCTGTTTCTGTTGGGATGTTTCAGATGAACAAGCCAGGGCCTTATCTGACCTCCCCAGACAAGAAATTGAGGTAAATTACCTGGTTTCTCTCTCCCTTCTCCTCAGGTAGCCTGTATGAATTCTTAAAAATTGGTAGCTGTTGAAGATTGAGGGAAAAGTGTTTAAAAAATAGCACCTAGGAGTGAGAAACTCAAACCAGCTTGGGGCCTCATTTTTCTTTCTTTTTTCTTTCAGAGTCAACTGTTTTGTCTAGGATCTGCTCATCCCCACCACTGCTGAACTTAATCTTATACCTACCACTGGTTCTGATCCTTCTGCTGGCCCTTGCTGTCTTCTGCTGGTACTGCAAATTCAGGAAAAGCAAGAAGAGCAACATCACTGGATGGATGATGGAACTGGACGGGAATGAAGAGGCCAAGAAAACTTAGCTGGTCTGTGGACTAGCAGAGCTGGACAGCTGAGGAAGACTGAGTACTTGCAGAGGGGCTTTTTATTGTTTTGTAGTGGCTCTTGCAATAAATCCTTGAAATTGTGTGTTTGTTTTTGATATAATGAGGCAGCTTTGGAATTACTAAGCAAATAGGGTTTGCATAATAAGTGTTTCTGTCTTTTAGGTTCCCATTTCCTGCTCTGTTTGTTGGGGTACATTTGGAGGCCCTTGCAATGTGCATCTTCCACTGTGGATGGAAGTGGTGTTATTCCTCTGCAGGAATAAAGGGAAAACACAGCTCTTTCTGTGCTGTGACACAAAAGTACCACATTTCTACTCATTTTAAGTGTCATGACAAAGCTATGTGGTATCCAGGCTAAAAACCAGTGGTAGAACTGGAAGTGGAATATTGGTGTCCCATTTCAGTCATCGCCCTTGTCTTTGCCCACTCTTTGCTGGGGAAGCTCTTGGACACCTCTGTTTTCACATCCTGAGAGTGCCCAAAGAGCATCACCTCTCCAGCATTAAATGGGTCTTCATCAAAACCTGTCACAGGAACATGAGAGACTGAGCAAGGCTGGCTGGGCCTGAAAAAAGTCCAGAGTAAAGGAATCACAGCCATTCACAAAAAACCAAATTCTGTTGACTCAGTAAAGGACTGACATGGAGTCTTGGATCCCAGAATGAAGATGTGGACACCAAACCATCTGGGAGATGAGCCTACAAAGTTCCAGCTCCCTTCTTTGCTTCTGCTGTAGGAGAAGACAGTGTCCAGCCCCTGGCACCTGGGCTGTCTGTGGGTCAGGAAGCTGCGCAGCTGGCACCTGGTATTAGACACATCCAGGTTGTCCCATGTAATAAAAAAAAAATATGTGTGCTTGTGGGGCAGCTTCTCTATACCCTGGAGTCCAGGGCTCACCTTTTCAAGGCTGAGGAGCTCTGCTACCTGATAAATAGCTGGTATTGTGCAAAATGGGATGTGGTCCCAGCGAGCTGTAAGGTCAGGTATCAGGGCAACACTCTGAGCACATTCCTCAGACCAAAGCAGCTTTATAGAAACCACAGCAGACACTGAGAGACCTGCTTCCTGTGACCACAGAGAGATCTGGAGACACCACAGCCCCTCTAGATGACCTGTTTTTTCACTTTGTTTGCAATTAGGAAAGCTGCCTGACTTTATCCTGAAGAACTGGCAGGTGCTTCAGTCCCTTGAAAATGCAGTTTTTGCACACATCTGCTGCTGTTTCCCTGTTCAGCCACCTCTGTCTGTGCGGGCTGCTTCCAGCTTTGTCAGTCTTTCTCTGCAGGATGTTTTCTGGGCCCCGTGCAGCTTTTCCCTTTGCTGCCCTGACCCCAGCTGCCTCTCCCGCAGCGTGAGCGCTCAGAGCTGCGTGTGGGGCTCTCTGCAGAGGTTTCCCCCCTGCCTGGTGGGTTATGTCCCGTTTACACATCCCAGTGGGATGTTTGATTTCCTCTTTGCGTGTGACGGCACGGCGCTGTTTGCGCTTGGCTCGTGACCATCAGGCTCCTCTCTGCAGATTTGCTGTCTAGCAGGTTGTGTCTCCACTGTGTGCTCAGGCTGTTGGCTTTTCCTATCTAACTGCAGCCCTATTTTCATGGGGGTGTTGAGCAGCTTTTGGCACCAGTTTGTGGAAGATGCTGCTGTCTGTCTTAGCCCTGTCTCAGTGAAGCTTTAACTCTTGGGCTGGTTTCCGTCTGTTTGCCAGAGAAGCAGATGCTCCTGGGATATTAAACTCCTACAGGTTTCATGGAAAGTGGTAAGTGGATGAAGGATAGGAGGCAGGCCACCAAGGGAAGGCTGCAGTGTGAGCTGCCCACCTCGTGCCTCGTTTGTGTTTAGGGGATATGGAAAGGAGATGCACATGTGTAAGGGCATGGGAAAGGGAGGAAAGAACTGCTTTTCTCTATCAACTGTTAACAATAAATCTATGCATGTAGCTTATCTGCTAATTTTGTGCTGTTTATCCAGTTTTTCATTTGGATTGTTTCCTTAGTTTGCTCAAGAATACCCTGGGAGCCTACAAACCTTGGTAAAGTCAAGAATATATGATGCCTGCTGTTTATCCCTTCCCACCAGGTTTTCAGTCTTATTGCAAGGGAGATAGGTAGGTCTACTTTGGTTTTGTTCAAAAAAACAAATATTTTGTTGTTTTTTTCTTGCATTCTTTTTAGTACTTTTAAGTACTTTGTCCCTGTATCTCCCTGGGGATTAAAGTTAAAAAGATGGTGCTCAGTTTGCACTTTTTAAATATAATTTTGCCCTCACCTCACTTGGTATCTCACACCTCCTCAGATATTACCGCAGCAAACTACTAATAGATGGCTTGACAGCCCATTCTTTATGTGGCCTAGGATGAACCTCATCAAGACCATCTTTCTAGTCAAAATGGGAATTATTTAGGCTGCTACTCATTACCAGAATGCTGGGGACAGCCCCTACCCTGCTGTGGCAGTCACATGTGTGGGTCAATCTCCAAAAGCTGTGTGAGCTCTCTGAGTGACCTGGGTTTGGTGCACCCCCCAGAATTATGCTGTCCCCCTCACTCAGCCACCTCAGGAGCCCATGGTAGGTCTGTGCAGGGATCTTTTCTGCAAACAAAAAGCTGCAACACGAGGTGGTTGTGTCTGGTGGACTGGGAGAACAAGGTTGGCAGAGAGAGGGAGGTTTCTCCATCAACTTTCTTCCTCTGTGCCATTTTTGCTCAGTTAACCTGAGCCCCATAAGTAGCAGCTTCCCATTCATGCAGGTATTAATTCAAGTTTGTAAGTGTGCCTAGGGCCATGATGAAAGGGTCTGCAAGGAGAATGTGTGTTTTTGCAGCAGTGGGCTTTTCCCCCTGTTTTTTCTTCTGGCTTTGCTGGGTCATTGCCAAACCTTTAGCTGACTAAATGTTTAGGATGTATTTTTTTCCATGAGTAGACTTTGCATTCCAGCTGGTTCCTGCAGCCCTGCCTGTTTTGTGTATCCTTTGGCCTTGGTCTTTGGCAACTTAGACAAAGCAGAACCACTGATAGAACTCTGAACCTTCCTTAGCCATTAAGAAACTGCTACATTGGATCTTCCTGCTCCTGGACTTTTTTGGTCCTTCACAAATCACCTGCTCCTCCCTCTTTTCTTCCAGAGGATAATATGGCATTATGTAATTATTATTGTTATAGTTGCAGTTGCACAGGGCTGGAAGGGAGTAATGCCTTGCAGGGCAGAAGCAGCACAGCTGCGAGGTGGGAAGGATGGATGAGAGGTAGGAAGGATGGATGAGAGGTGGCAGGGTGGAATCTGTCTCAGTTTGCTGCCACAGCAGGCAAGAGGAACCAGCTCAGTGTCCTTTTAGCCAGCTGCACTCCCCAGAAAGGATTCTGGCTGTGGTGGTGTGGGACTGACAAGATTAATGTATGTACCTGTGCTGTACCTACTCCTTGTAGGGGTGAGAGGAACTTTCATTTCTAGGGCTGTCGACAAAGTGTGAAAATTGACCTGCTGTGGGGACAACTCCGGTTTTATCATTATTTTAAGCATGAGGGAATTAATGGGTGAGTGCTGGAAGCAGTAAGGCATACCAGGAGGGGCTGTGACTACTCCCAGCCCCCTCGTGGGTTGCTAATAGGGAGGAGAGGTCCAGTGTCCCATTTGAAAGAGAAGGGCCATGACCAATCGATGTTCAATGCGGCGGCAATGCCTCGCGCCGTGGCCGCGGGATGAAAAGGCAGAGAGGCAGCCTGAACTGTAAAGACATTTCATTTCCCTGGTAATGAGGGAGACACACTGTGGCAATGAAACCAGGGAGAGAGAGGCTGAGATGCTAATTTCTGCTCCTGCTGCCACTGCTGCTTTGATCTGAAGCAAATGCCCGTTTTAAATTGCAAGCGGATGCGAGTCAGATATCATCCAGCCAGTGGCTTACAGGCTTAATGGAGTGGGACGTGCGCTGCTGCCTGGTAATGTTGGGAGAGGCAGGCAATTCAGAGAGGAATTACTGAAGGGCTAAAGAGACAGGGAGCCAGGGTAGGGGGGATGTCACAGGCTAACTCTGTGGGGCACAGTGTCCCCTGCTTTCTGTCCTGGTGTCACTTGCCCGTGTTTGAAGGCACACATCCTGCAAGGGCATCCTGCTCTTTGGTCTCAGAACATCAATTTGGGGCGCTCTCCAGGTGAGGCAAAGGCATGGGAATTTAGGTGTTGTTCATTTTGTGCTATCATTTGGGCATTTAATTGAACATGAGCAAGATAACTGACAAAGATATTCTGGGACAGACCCAGAGGCTCTTTGGGATGGAGTCGTTAATCCAGAAGCAGTGACTGGGAGCCTGGTAGCTGATACTGGACAATGGCATCTTCTGGAGATTCTTTTGGGGAAAGACCTGAATTATCTTGAAGAACTAATGTCTAAATATTTATTATATTTATATTTATTATACTCTTCACTAACACAAGGCTTTTGGGTCTAGGATGAGGCTGGAGTTTATTGTGTGCCTCCTGTGGGTATCCAGAGGTTTGGATGTCTCTGCAAGATGCTGCACTTGACTAGGCAGTCTTGAGAAATCTGAGGGACCTGCAGGGAGCTGCAGGGAGGATTGACCTCTGCACTAAGCAAAGAAATGGTCTGGCTATTGAAAAAGGCTCACAAATCTGTAAGGTTCTTTGAAGGAGTCAGCATGTGAATAGGGAAAATCTCGTGGCTGTAGTCTGTGTGGAGCCAAGAGGCTCCACAATGTCCATGGTTATTACAGAAACTAAGTAATGGAGGGACAAAACTGGCAGCTCCTCGCAGGGCTGAGCTATTTGTTAAAAATACCAGGCAGAAAAGAAGGTAAGTGGTTCTGACAGAAAAGGGAGGTCACCAGCGATGAGACCTGTGCTGCTCTGCGAACGCAGAAATGGGCTGGAAAAGAGGATGATTGATAAACAAAGAAAGATAATATTAAGTTAATCAAGGCATTAGTAGTAAGGGCTGACTCTGATGAAATTCACAGGGTGCTAAGAGACTGAGTGGCTGGGTAATGAAACAGGACATGACTTTTGTGTAGGTGACTGTAAAGTGAGAGATGGTGGCAAAAACTAACCAGTCTTAGCTTCAGGTATGAAACGATGGAGTCTGAGCTGACCACTGTAGTTCAGAAGAAAAACCTTCATGTGAGAATAGCCAGGTGTGTGTAACAGCTGCACGATGATCAGAGCAGCGAAGACAGCAAAAACAGGAGTGAGTTATCAGGAAATAAAGACAAAAAGATAATTCTGCTGCTGTGTACACCTGGGGAGCATTCACACCTTCCATGAAGGGCTGTTCCTCCTGCCCCACAAAGGGCAGCACACCTAGCCAGGGCACAGGGAGCGCTGGAAAACAGTTTTGGGTTTTTTCCTAAATATGCTTTTAAAAGCATTAGAATTCCCTTTCAGTACAGTAAATCATGTTAATCTGTAGGCCACTAGGCAAGATGAAGCTTTTAGATTATCCATTATCCTTTCTTTTTCTACAGCATTCAAAGACTTCACACTATCACAATAAGATAGTTGAGAATTTTTTCTGCTTAACAAATGAGGGAACTTAGAGATAGGGGTTTGCTGTGAAACAGGCAAAGAAATAGGAAATCTGTTTTTTTAGAATATCTCTAGAGAAAGAGACAAGAGAAAAGACTGGCTCTAATAGTGAGAATCAAAGGGAAAAATCTCTCTGCTGGATCCAAAATAAGTTTCCATAGAAACAGATTTTTCAGAGAATGAATTACTGCAGTATGAAATTAAGATTGTGGATCTAATTCTGCAAAATATTTAAGCATGTTCTTTGCTTATCCCTATTCAGTTCAAGATGCAAGTGTGTGATTTCCATGGAGGCTTATGTGCTTTATTTGATGGAGGTAGAAATAAGGGCAAGCTGCACTGAAGTGGGATCCAGGTTTTCTTGTGCTTCCTTGTCACTGACAAACTTGCAGCTTATTTTTCATGGCAGCATGTGTTGCTTTGCTGTCAGAAATGTGTAGGCCCCAGTGCCTCAATCTGAGAGTTCAGCACAAAGTTCCATCAGACTCTTGCCACTGCTGGGGAGTGGAGTCAGCAGAGTTTTTACATTGCTGGGTACGTTACTGTTTTGTTAATTAACTTTTTTTTTTTTTCTATTTATGTGCAGGTTTAAGTTTAAATGGGATACTTACTCTGTAAATGAATGCCATGGTGATTATCAGATAATTAATTTGAGAAGCGATGTATAAGAGGTTGAGATTTGCTCATAATCTGTCTTTTGTGCACCTCTGTTTGTGGCCCAGAGATATTTTAAACACAGGATAGGTACTTAATATTTTGCATGCTAATTGCTTTTATTGTAAGTGTGTACTGCTAAATGATTTGGTTTAGTTTAAGCTCTTTAAAGCTGTTTTGTATATCTTTTTCTCCCCTCTGTGTTGTGACTTTATTCTTAGCAGAATTAACAGGAGAAATAAGGTTTGACTCAGAGTTTTATTTCCATTTACTGTACTTGGAATAGATGAAGCTCTTGTGTAGCCAAGCTGCAGCTACTCTTCTTCATGCAAACTTTCTATGTTCTTATTCCCTCTTTATTTCACATATTCCTCTTTATTTCACATCTTCCAGCTTTTTATTTTGGGAGGTGTATATATGTAGACCCCCTTCCAAGCATTTCCCAGCAGCACTACAGAGCCCAAAAAATGAACTTAAGCCTAGTGCTAATAGTGCTTTGGGACTCTGTTTGAGATGATGCAGGACAAATAATCCTCATGGAAATTGCATATAATTTTTTTGTTCCCTTCTCTGAGCCCTTGTGCTTGTCCCAGCCAAAATAAACTCTCAAGGCATTTAAACAATCCATCTTCACATAATATTCATGTCAGTGTTCCATCTTAACGTGGAAGCCCTTGACTTGTTTGGGTCCAGATGAGCTCTTTCCCCTGCTTGTCACCCAGGTGTGGCTGCAGGGGTTCCTGCCTGCCCTG